GATCAGTCAAGGGCACGACGGAGGTCGCTCCATTTCTGGCGGAGGTTCTCGTGGTTTTCGGAAATCTGTTCGAGTTCGTCAGTCTAAACGTCTCACGCTGAGTATTGAAGGAGATATCGTACCTCTGCCCACTTCATTTTCGTGGCAACCAACTCCTTCTCCATGTCGGACATTGATTCCTCCATCGCACGGTTCTCGTTTTGCACCTCGATGTTCCGCTTCATGATCCGTTCCATTTCTAGGCGAAGCTTCTCCTCGACTTCGGCCGGCTGCTTGTCGACCACGTTCTTGAGTTCGCTGACCTGGAGTTCCAAAGCCTCTTTGAGGTCGCGCAGCTCCTCATTCTCAACCTTGACATGAACTAACTCGGAGGCCAATTGCACATGCTCTTTGTCTGATGCTTCGGCACGTTCCTCGAGAAGTCGGACACGCGCGCCCTGCGTGCTCACGGTGTGCCGCAGGTGTTCCACCTCTACTTCACGCTCTTTCTCGGTTCGAGTCTTTTCCTCCCACTCGGCGGTGTACGTGGCAAGCATCTCGGACGTGAGGGGAATGGCGCAAGCGTCCTGCACCATGATGTCGGATCGGTAGATCTCCTTATCGGAGGCACCGGAGCTTCCGAAGAAGCCTGACTCCAGGATCGATGAAGTGGATGGCTGCTTGTCAATGTACGCGTCGAACAAACGCTCTTTCAAGAAAGTAGTGAGCACACTCATGTCTTTCATTTCAAGTAGCGCGTCTGCATTTCGTTTCATGATCGCAACGCCGAATTTGAGGATGGTAGTCTCTAGTCCTTCTTCGAAGATCAGGTCGTAGATGCGAAGGACCAGTTGTAGCGGGAAACGGTAAGCGAACAGTGTCAAGAACCACTGGGTGGCGTAGAGCTGAGGGGGAACTCCACGGCGCCGGAGATGGCAGTAGAGAGCGGGTTCTAGGTCTTCTAGAAGTCGTTCGAATTGGTATAGACTACGGTGAAGCCCGGGCATATCCTGAATGAACATATCTCGTAGAGAGTATTTGTTCATCAACTTGACCATCATGGCGAAAGCATCGACCTCGTCCATCTGCGAAAAATAAAAAACGTTAGCCAATGAGCTCAGTCAGCTTGATCAAGGGTATACTCACGTTGAACAGCAATGGCATAGCAATAAAGTTCATACCTTGCGCGTATCCAACTCCCGTATCATACAAGGCATATGCCTTGCACAACCCAAAGAGACCTTCTTGGCTGCCCTGGGAAACAAAGTATTTCGCGTAGCTAGTGCGAGCACCCAGGTCTCGCCTGATCACCTTCTCCAATTTTTGCAGCGCAACGGCGTCTGTCTTTGCTTTCTTCAGACGTTCGGCCTCATTTGAGGCATTTTCCTTGGACAACTTATCTGTATCTCCTTCGTAAGATGGACTGGGGGCAGCACTGCTAGACCGTGATACGGAACCAGAGTGGTGGGAGCGGACTGAGGAGCGCGAGGACGTGCTTTCAGTGCCATTTATTGTTCGTCCATCTTTGTCTTGTGCTGTACCACGCGCCACGAGTTCTCGATAGGTGTCCTCCATCTCAGCAGTCTGGCAATCTGCCAAGATTTGCCAAATCACTCCTCGGATCGTCTGAGGGATACCTCGTTTGATGGCAGCATTCAGTTCCTCTGAGCTTGCCAAGGCCTGGGGCCCATTGTTCACCAGGTGCTGCCACATCTCCCAATCCACCGGGGTTGAAGCATCAGCCACAGAACCTGTTCTCCCAGGAGCGACAATCGTCGAAGGTGAAATGGCTCCTGATGCTACCAAGATGCCTTCCTCTCCTTCCTCCGGGATGATATTGGGGCTAGTCCCAGACTGGCTGGTGCTGGCCTGGCCCGATCGCGCGCTCGTCTGGTCGACCTCTGGCGCATGGCTCTCCTCGCGCAGACGCAGCATTTTGAACTGATCCTTCAAGCTATTTCGTCTCGGCTTCTTTGAGCCAACGCTCGAGACGTCATCGCCATCACGAGCAATTTGGTCTAGATTGCTGCCGAGGGTCGACACGGAGGTGGCAGTATTGCGTCGGCTGGCAGAGTGGGGTGGGGATTTGACGTCCTTCGCAGTGGTCGAGGTTGAGCTTCGAGAGAACCACGCAAAGGGGCCACTGGACTTTCTAGGAGGGGCTGGCTGGGGAACAGGTGGATTCTTGTTCACTGGAGGAGCCGCCCATGGGACTGAGGGCAGACTACCCGACAGACCCATCAGCCCTGCGCTTGCCGGAGGGGCGGGATCATCCTTGGGAGGTAATGGAGGCGGCTCTGGCTTGTCCCCTGTGCCCTGTGGCTTGTTCGTCGGCTCGTCTTCCTTGTTGTTCATCAGGTTCACCTCGTCGAGTGAGGATGATGTTGATAAACGGTGGGATGTGAGTAGAGGCGACTTCTGGAGTGGACTCTGATCGCGATCTTCTTCGTCCTTCTCTATTTCTGTCTGCGTAACATCGGACCCTTGCTCCGGCTTGTCACCCTGGGTGGGCTCATCGGTCGCGGTGCTCACCTCGTCGTTGGTGTCATAGTTATTTTCATCGTTGGTATCCGTTCCTTCGCCCTGTTTCTTCCCCTTTCTCTTGTTCTTCTTATTTTTCTTGTTATTCTGTCCATCTTGCCCCTCGCCATCCTTGTCCTGCTCATCGACGGTGTCGGTCTTCTTCTCGTCCTGCGATTCAGAAGGGAACGGAGGTTTTTCCGTCGATTCCGGAGACATAAGTGAGCCAATTGGAGGACTGTCGGTCAACGATCGGGTGGAAGTGGACTTGGGGATGGTGACGTTGAGGTTGTTGTTCTCCTGGATTTCAGGTGTTTCAAGGGCGTCGTCAAAAGACTCCTTTTTCAGATGGCGATAAGCTCGTGTCAAGGGAAACTGGGAGATTGGAAATATCCGAGTCTTAACCACTTACCACTTCGTATTCAGGACTGTGTTTAGGCATAGACATGTCGGCCATATCTGTTTCGATGACCTCACAACAATCAGAAGATCAAACACCCCATAGGATCGCAAGAAAGCAAGGGCTCAAAAGAGCTAAAAGACAAGAATTACAAGGGAGTGGAATCTGCGAAAACAAAAAAAAGTGAAAAACAAGATGGAATGAGGAAGGAATTGACGGGATTTGATGAGTTTCAAGTCGAATGGCCAGGTACACTCGCCGCTGATTGGCGCCCCAGGGCGGAACCGAGAGGTCGGAGACGTTGGGAATGCATTTGCATATTCTACGATGTACGTTGTACGTTGTATGTTGTATGTTGTATGTTTTGTATATTATGTTCAGAGGATTATAATTAGTCTATCTTCATGCATATAGATTTAATAAGAATGTCTTAACATGGTATTTTGGCTTCTCTAGGAATTCAATGTCTTAAATGTGGCACTAACTATATAGTGAGCAAAGGGGTAAACAAATAGTCCAACTGATATGCATAGATAGTTTATGAAACTATTTACTTCACAGAGTCTTCTCAAAATCAAGCCATCTTTCTCGTCGCAATGGATCCAGCTTCTTCAATTCGGAGAGCCAGCTCAGGATCTGGTCGCGATCCTCAGAAGACAGGCGGCCTTCCACTTTGGATGCGAGAAGGGTGCACTCAATTAATGCCTGGTAGATGTATTTGCAGTCTTCAGCCCCATCCAGCATCTCTTGGACCTCTTCAATCTCATTTCTAATGTACTCTAGCCGGTCGGAGGAGCTCAAATTGGGAGCTAGAGTTCGTTCGGCCATCGACGGGTCGAACACATTCATCAAATTTTGGTGATAGAACCAAAGTGACTGATCATAAGGATCAATAAATGCTTGATGAATGAGAGATAGTTCTAAAAAACCCCTCCAGATTAGCATAAGGCAGACACCGATAAGACAGGTTAGACCAACCATCATCCAACATTCTTCTCCGATCCTCATCACTGGCAGATTGCTCATCCAAAAGGGATTGGATAAGCTTTGTCCGGTAATGCCACGCGGAGAAGTTGGAAAGATTGGCGCCAATCATCTTCTTGGCGTATTCCAATTCCTTCTGAGTCATGCTTGTTGCTTCTTCAGCAGTACCAAGCTCCTTCAAGGTCTCGACCACGAAGCGTCGATAACCCCACCCGTGGAAATTCCGGCTATCGAGAGTCAACATTTTGCCCACAAGGGCAAGTTCTTGCTGCCAGATTTGCCGGGCCTCGGGAAGGGGTAGTAGACGGCGAGCTTCATCCAACAGCCACAAACGATAGTTCCAGATCCAGTAGCACTTAGGGAAGCTCCGGAGAAGGGGAATCAGAAAATGTAAATCATTTATGATTAACTCGGTGATTGAATGTGCAGCAGTCTCATCATCCGACCCCCTGCTTGGGAGAATTGATACTGCAGTGCCTGTCGGCGGTAGTTCCAGGCTGTGTAGTATTCTGGATTGCTAGACAGCAACTCCGAGATCTTCTTCAATGTCTCGACTGTATACTCATGCTCAGCCACCTGTTATGTGTTAGGCTAGGTTTGTACGTAAGATCTATAAGATGACCAACCTTTTTAGATACCAAACGCTCGAGATCCTTGTAATTTTCTATCTTCTGCAGCTCTTGCTGTCGTGCCTCGGCGGACTTCTCAACTGGTTTATACCGTGGCACACCATGCTATCGCAATCGTCAGCCCCAGAACGGTATATTCATGGGAAGTTAATCTCACACTGGGCATTTTCAGTTTTTGTTTGACAATAAGAAATATGTAAAATGCGTTACCTAGGTAGGTTGCTTCGTGTTGATCAGATGCCCGCCAACTAGAATTATCTCATTGGTGCATGAGGCGGTGGAGTAACTTACGTAACCTTCTCGGCATTTCCAAGGTTGTAACTATAACTTCACGTGATCCGCACTCTTTCTACATTTGGGACTTGTCTCTGCTTCATCGTCTTTCTCGTCTCGCCGCTATGCCTTCAAAGAGAGGCCTCCTTATACATTCCTTTTTTTAGATCTAGGCCATTACTCATATACAGCTTATCGACCTGCATCCAAAAACAATGATAGATATGCAACGTCACTCCTTCGAGGAAACCTCTACAGGAAGTCACAAACATCCTTTGACTTCACACTCTCGATCCGAGTCTTCCAAGGACAATGGACCTGTCCAACTGACTGAATTCGCAACCATCAATTTGCCATTCTTTGAAACACCTACTTCTCAATCATTGTCAAAGCCCAACCCTCAACCTGTTCTGACACCCGTCCCTCGTTCCAAAGAAAATCGGGTGTCATCACCCAAAAGAGGTCGCAGCAGAGTCAGGAACAATGGGAATACAGCAGCAGCAAGAAGTTCCTTCCAAAGTCCGATGTCGCCTAATAGATTCATCCCAAAGAGAGACTTCGTGGAACCAACATCAACAACCTTTCGTGTGGCCAAGCATCCACAGCGCCTTTCGCCTCAGGAGAGACTATTTCGACGACTTCCTCCTTGGGATGATCCATTTCTGCCCTCAATCCCGCATAGGGCTTATGTTGCCAACAGGCCCCGGCAGTCAACTCGACTCCAGCAGATCCCACATCAACGGCCTCGTCTAGTTGCCGAAGGCAATATCACAGGCAACAACACCGCCCATGAATCTTTGAGACAGGTCAGCTCTGGTGCAGTTTGGAACGTGGGTGGGGCTTCTGCAGTCCTCGGTAGTTCCCTTACTGCAGCCCCTGATGACACGCCGCTCAGGTCGACCAATGGGTCATCAACTGCCCCAAATTTCGTGGCTCGGTTCTTACCCAAAAGACCCAAATACAGTGAACAAGAAATCCATGAGTCAAGGCTTGCGCTTGCCTTGGGAATTGACCCAACGACCAGACAGCTCGGTACTACTTGTCTGCGGTATCTGGATGCTCCCCTCAATCCAGCATCCCCTGACTTTGAGCGCCTCTCTCCGTTTGAGTGGAAGGACAGTGCTTGGAAGAAAGTTGAAAAAGAGCATTGTAAGTGCAACCGTAGTTTGCAACAGCCACTCCCTGACCCTACTTTTGGAATAAATTTACCATTTACAGATAAATATATATATGATATTTCAATCCAACTTTTGGAAATTGTGAGACTGGCCTGGCAGTATCCACAGCCTTCTCCGGGGCATCAACTAACCCAGGTTGTCTCCAGGGCCCACATCTCCTGCCAGAAAAGAGGTTGTTCCACCGAAGCCTTTTCGAATCCTTGATGCTCCCTTCCTTCGGGATGATTTCTACTGCAGCACTCTTGCATACTCAACGACATCTGGGATACTGGCTGTGGGCCTGGCTCATCAAGTATATCTCTGGTCTGAAGGCCATGGAGTGGATTATCCCCCCTTTCCGGATCTGCACCCCTCAAATTATGTGACTTCCCTGTCATTTTCTTCTGAGGATGGCGGGCGAAGCATTCTTGCAGTGGCCCGGCGATCTGGTCAATTGTCTCTATGGAGCACATTCGAGAAGCAAGCCCGGTTTGAAATCAGTCATCCCAGTACCCTTACATGCGTGGCATTTAAGCCCAAAACATCACGGCGATTTTCAGAGCGGTTCATGCATGTGTTAGTCGATGTGGAGGAGATTGTTGTCGGCGATGACTTTGGGAATATCTGGTACTATTCGGTCGAGTGGTCTGACCAAGAAGACCAAGCTAAGTGGAAATGGAATGGGTCCATGACGCTTCTTGCCAAGATATGTGCACACACTCAACAAATCTGTGGACTGGCCTGGTCACCCGATGAGAAGTACCTTGCCACGGGCGGTAATGACAATGCCTGCCTTCTCTTCAAACTGGCCGAGATTGTTCCACCCCAGCATTTGAAGTATACGGCCCCACCCATTATGCCCCCGGATTCCCCCAGTAGCTTTAGTCTCGGTGTATTTCCATACATTGAACTGGGCACCGCAAGAAGACAACTGTCTCTTAGACGGCCTGCTCTCCCATCATGGCTTGCTGCGCCGATTAAGCCTCCGACCACAGCCGCGCTTTTAAACCATGCCGGCACTCTAATTTCGGGTGGTGGGCGAACGATTCTAGTCCCACACGGTCGTCAGAAGCACCGTCTGATGCACTCCGCTGCTGTCAAAGCAATTGCATTTGCGCCATGGCATTCATCCCTGCTCGCGACGGGGGGAGGTACTAACGACAGAGCGATACACTTCTATCACACCCGGAGCGGAGCGTGTCTCGCAACGATCAATGTCTTTGCGCAGGTGACAAGTCTGATATGGAGCGAAACTCGACGTGAGATCGCTGCTACTTTCGGTTATGCACAGCCAGATCACCCATTTCGAATCGCTGTATTTGCCTGGCCCAGCTGCGCACAGGTGGCCGTCGTTCCCTGGGGGGCCCTATGGAACCACCTGGGACGGCCCTGAGACTCGAATCAGCAACTTCGACTGCGGAAGAGCATTGTGGGCAGTACGATATCCAGGGAAAGTCCCTTGTTGCTCGGGTGTACACTCTAATAGATCGGGCACTCAGTCATCTTCACCCTCGTCAAGCCGGAGTCGGTCCACAGAGCGAGGAGCCGCGACCCGGGGCCGCAAGGTCAGTAGCCGCAAGATCGGTGCTCGGATGGTCGCCCCCAAGGAGAAAGAAGGTGGAATGTGGTGCACACGAACAAGGGAGGAGGGATGCATTATTGTCGCGTCTAGTGATCAAACTGTGAAGTTCCATGAGGTCTGGACTGGAAAAAGGACAAGTACTACCTCTGCTTGTGGACTGTTCGGTGGAAGCGACATTCTCGAGGGCCTGGAGGGCATTGAGAAGACTGGTGGTGAAGTCATTCGTTAGTATTCTTTGTCTTCTTGGGTCTGGGTACTAGGTACTCTCACTATCCTTAAAGGCTTATATTTTTATTAGTTTAGTGCTACAGCGAGGGAACTTGGGTAAGTTTATCATTCTTTGTTCTGAGGAATTCAATTCTTGTGTTTTTGTTTTCTATAGTACAATCGAGCATTCATCTTCAGAGTCTAAAATCAGTCCATATCCAAAGCGCACTAAGCCTGCGGGATTGGACTGTGTATGGGAGGTCCAATGTAGACTCTCTTAGGCAGGTTCATGACTAGATGTGATATATATATATATATACTGCTGTCGAGTGGAAAAGAGATTCAACGTTCAACGCATAACATAACAGGTAACTATAGCAGATATTATATATATTACAATATAACAAACCCTCTAATTGGACCTAGAATCTTACATTTCAAATAATAATATGAAACCAAATACATTGACCTCGACATTAATGCGCTGGTAGCCTATTACAAGAAGTATATAGGCGATGTAATAGAACGCCGATCTCACTCCACCTCTCTTCAGCTCCCCAAAACGTATCTCAGCTCTTCAATTTTTTCTTTATTATATCTTCTTTCCTCCTAATTACCTATCCGTCACACAATCCACTCCAATTCCCTCAAAATGCGCCTTCAAACCCTCATCCAATTCATCCTCCCTTCCGCAACCCTCGCCCAATCCCCCGATACCTCCCTCGGCTCCACCCTCAACATAACCGTCATCGGCGCGCGCCACAATCGCTCCACCTTAGAGTGCTGGGCTCTCCAGCCAGGATTCGAAACATCCGATCAACCCGGCCAAGTCGGGACCGCCACGCTGAATTTAGGGAGTACCGGTGGAAACGCGTCGTTTACAGTACTACGGGCTGGGTTTGATGGCGGTAGACATAATGCGCCTGCTTTGCAGTAAGTGATATTCTCCTTTTCTTTCTTTTTTCTTTCTTTTTTTTACACATGCATTTTGCTATTTCAGAGTCATCTGTTCTGGATGAGTTGTTCTTTATGCATGTTTCTTTGGGGTTTCCAATGTTGTTTCCATAGAGTCCACACTTATACAATATGTATAGATGGGTGGTCTTCCTCTCCGGCTTAGCGCATATTACGCTCCCTAACTCGACAACCGAGGCCTGGATTCAAGGCGGCAAGAATGGAGCCATTCTGGCTCTCGATACGGCTGATGTCAGTGCATTGGGTCACTTCACTACCTATCCCTCGCAGGATCGGACCACATCCGTGCTGATCCCCCTCGGCGAGAAAGGGGTACCGGGTCATCGGGTCTTGCATAACGGTCCCTGTCAGGGGGGAGGAGTTACTTGTATAAATGTTTGGTTATGCATAAAACAATTCGTGCATAGGATTTATACTGTATGTGTTTTTATCGCCTTGATATACGTCTAAAAATAACATCCGGATCTGCACGGTAGCTACGGAAGGAGAGATATCAAGACACCCGAGGTAGAATTTCAATAGACATTGATAGAGACGCAGAGGCGCTCGGTAGAGGCACAAGATATCGAAAGCAAAAGATAAAACAAAGAAAAAAATGAAATGCAGACCCGGTCGGATGCATCGAAAAATAAAAATATGTTCTTTTATAGACCGTTACCTCCCCTTCTCCCATCTCTAATTCATACAACTTCAAAAAGAGACACGCTTATTTCCTGCCGCCCTTGCTCTTCTTGCCGACAGAAGCAGAAGACTTACTCTTCTTTGATGGCGGGGGCTGCTGTTGAGCAGCATTGTCAGACTCGTCATCCTCCGTGTCAGCAATGAAGTCAACCATGGAGCCATCACTATCCTCATCATCGTTCTCATCCTCGTTCTCCTCGAGCGATTCCTCGGCATCGGAAGAACCGACAGACTCAGCAGCCTCAATGTCCAAAATGGGCTCTTCGTCATCATCTTCATCGTCACTTCCATCATCCTCGTCATCTTCAGACTCATCGACGCCGTTCATCATTGACTCATCCTCATCGTACGCCTGGTCGCGTATTGACTTCCGCGGCGTCTTGGCCTCGGTCTCACTGTCCTCGAGATCGTCCTGACCCTCGACGTAGATGACATTATCCTCGTCCTCGCTGTCCATACCCTCATCGCCACCGCGGATTGATTGCCGCAGTCCCAATTGAGCATCAAGCATGTCGAGCTTGCCCTTGAGGAGCAGAAGGGATGGCAGGCTGGCAGAGCGCTGGTCCATGACCTTGTAGAGGGAAGTCATGCGCTTCAGGAGATCGGGGTGGCCGGCCAGGGCACCACCGTGAGCAACGCAGGTCCACTGTACCCAGACGAGAAGGTGGCCGTAGCGACCAGGTCGGGAGGCGAGGCGCTCAGCGAGTTTTTGAAGCAGGGTCGCGGCCAGAGAGGAGTCGAGACGCTGGATGGTAGTGCGGATGATGGAGGTGTCACCAGTGTGGAAACAAGATTCAAGCATGCTGCTATCGTTGGTCTTGAGCGACTGCGTGAGGACAGTAGCAAGAGAAACACCGGTGGGAATCTGTTGCACTGCGGCCTGGGGCTTGCCGGGCACCAATGCACCCAGGAGAACGTCGTCGTCAAGCTCGGCCTCGACGTCGACTTCCTGGCCTGCGTTTGCGCGCAGGAGTTCTCCGAATGATGGCTCTGCGCCCTCTTCTTCTTCTTCCTCCTCCTCGGAATCGGATGCATTCTGCATCTCAACGTCCTCAGTCGCTGCGACTTGCTTAGTGGGCTTCGTCTTCTTCTCAGTGGAAACCTTGGACTTCTTGTTGTCCTCGTCATCGGAGTCCTCCTCGCTACCAGAATCAGATGCGTCTTGTCGTGAGTCCTCCATCTCTACATCATCATCAACCAGGTTTCCCTGCTCGACATTCATGCGAGACTCGTCGACACGGGTCTCGCCTGAGCTCTTAACTCCATTCGTTGTGACGGAGGAAAGTGCTGAGCCGGACTTCGTCTTCACCACAGTCTTGATTCCAGTGAAAGAAAGCTCATCGGTATTCTCATCGAGGAACTTAACACGCTCAAATACAGGAATCACACCACCTTCGGTGTATGCAACCACGAGAGTAGGGCCCTGGAATGAGATGGCGGCGACGGGAACGCAGGCGTTCGAGGAGTCGGTGTTGGTGATTTTGAGAGTTGCGTTTGCTTTCTGGGTCATCTGTTTCCGACTGGCCTTGGCACTGGCGGAGGGCGCACTTTGGGGCTGAACAAATGGCTTCGTGAAGAGTTCGATGCTACCATCTGCGGTGACTGCAGCAAGCACTTGGCTCTCCGGGGCGGCAACACCATCAGTTTGCAGAGTAATGGACGAGACCTCCTGGTCGGCGACAAGGTTGCGAACAAGCTTCTGGGTGGTGGCATCAAAGACGTTGACAAAGCGGTCACCATCGGATGCAAGGAATGCACCCACTCCAGCAGACTCGGAAGAGGACGAAATGACGGTGTGGATAGGGTTGCGCATGGCAGGGAACTGAACCGGCTCGTCGGCCTTCTCGGTATCTATTAAGTACGGGGTCTGGGAAGCGCAGATAAGAGGAGGGTTCGAGGGAACGGGGCGGGAGAGAGCAGTGAAGACTGATGATGCGGGGAGGTGAATTGTCCTATAGGTATATCATTAGTTAGGAGCTCGGTGTAGCCCAGCAAATATCAAAAACTTACTTGGTGCTTTGTCCGGTGCGCAGGTCCCATTGGACAAGCTTATTGTCACCACCGATACTCCAAGCCTCCTGGGCGGGCCGATCGGCTGTGAACTTGAAGTCCTTGATACCTTTGTCGTGTACGCCGGTCAAGGTGCCGACCACCTTATCTTCGGATGGAGAGTACATGCGGATATCCGATGTGTTTGTGCCAAATGCAACCACGATATCGCCCTGGTCCAGGCCATCAACAGCTCCATTGACATCGGAGCCGCGCTTGCGCTTCTTTTTCGACTGGTCACGGCCCTTGCCCGAGCCACCATAGTATCCCCAGTCCAAAGAGGTCACTGTCTCCTTCGGCCCCAGAGCATGCTCACACTGGAGGCGTCCTGTCTGTGTGTCGTGAATGCGAATGTGCTGTCCATCGAGGCCTTGAATAACGGACGCAAACAGGGCCAATTGGTACTCTGACGGGGAGAATGCAGCGCGCAGGATGGACGATTTGCTGCCCGCATATGTCATGCCCGACGCCGGCGATGCGGCGGCTGAGGCGACCTTGGTGGATGGGCGAGTCGTCTTCTTTCCCATCTTGGCTGTAACTTTTTTTTCTTATCGTTTTTTTTTCCTTCTCGTAGTCGAGGGTATGGTGGTGTGAAGATAAATATCAATAGAGCAAACCCAAATAAAGACAACAAAGATTCCGATAAGACTCTATTTTTTTCCGCCCCTAAGGAAACAAATGGGGGTTTAGGCTGGTGGTTTCGCAGTTGATCTGGACAGGAAAAAAAATGTTCTGTAGAGCCTTGACGGGCTAGTCCTAAAGTGGTTTAGACTGTCAACTGTTCTTATCTAATCATATCATCCCGTGATGCTTCAATGTCAGTACAACATGGAGAGAGTACAATCCATAGGTCCTGGGGTAACTCTGCTAGCTATTTAATTCATTTCAGTCGAGGTTTCATAGTGGTTTGTTTTTGACCTTCGCTGGGACCCTTTTCGTTTTTAGCTCTAAGGCTTTTATAACAACACACGACTTTTTGCTTTTAGCATCCCTTTGCCGAGCGAAAATATATAACTAATAGACCATTTTAACATATACTGTACTTCCTGCAGCCATCCCCAGAATTTATTTTGTAAACCTAAACTAAAATCCCAACGAGTTTCCAGGTTCATTGTGTGACCCAAGCCAAATTTGATATATACGAGAAACAGGACAGTAACCAAATAAGAGCACTCGTCTCGTTATAACTAGTTAACTAGTTAGTTAGCGCTCACAGGCATGTATACCCGAGCCATCTAAAATGTCCAGCACTAAAATTTTTATGTCGTATACTTTCGAGCATATGGACTCCCATTGGGCAGATCTTCGAGAACCAAA